ATGAGGGTCACAGAAGTATCAAGGATCTACAGGCGATTGTCGGAGAGTCTGAGTTGATAGGTCATAGAGAGAACCTTATCGAGGAGGGGTATTTCAGTCTGTATATAAAGGTAGCCATTAAGTACAGAAATTCTCTCTTCAGAGAACTATAATTAAAATATTGTACCTACAACATTGCTCATGCATTTTGTAATGAAACCATGACACTTTGAACTTGATCGTCGACTTTGTATATTGGTCTGTTATCACAGACACCGATATAGATTCATGAGATTGCTTTATGAGAGGCTAGGTTTGATTCCAATATAATTTGATTGAAGACTTGTCCTACCATTTAGAGGCTACAATGTCTTTATATATCTACGTTTTTACCCCTTTATTCACCATATCCGCAAGCCATTCTATATCTAGCGTGCATAGTCTGATTTATCTCATGTTCTGGGATGGAGCTGTAGTTTCCGAATAGCAGGATTCTTTTAGCTACTACAATACGTAGCAGCTTCAGATATAGTTTACCGTGCGATACTTCCACTTGAGCTACATGCCTCCTTGATATGCTGCCGGCTCGGTAATCAGTGAGATAACCGAAGCTAAACCTTAACAATAACCTTCATTACGAACCCATGAATACCTAAGACAGAAGCCTACAATCTAACACAATTAGTGTCTAAACATGTCATTCATAATGTCAAGGGTAACTTGGTGGGGCTACCTATCGGGTATGGTGTAGCGGAAAATAATAAATGAATATGTACATAGTCTCTTCTTTGGGAGAGAGGACAGAAAGAAATAAACTAAGAGCCATCCATATCGGATCACATCCCAATATGCACACAACTTCACATTGAGCCGCCAAATCGAGAAGAACAACAAAGTCGACCACAATGGAAGAAAGCAGATTGGGAAGAAGTTAACAGGAGACTCGCCCAAAAGCTAAGTAGGGTTTCAACAAACCACATCGAGCTGAACTCCCCGGAATCTATCGACCAAAGAGTAAGCGCCATAACGCAGGCCATCAAGGAAACGATCAGAGAAGCGATCCCTGGGGCCAGACTGTCAGGAATGCCTACTGTATAATATATATATATGTTGAGATAACCGTTGTCTCGTGTTTTATGATTCTGGTTTGGCCTTTTGGCCAAGTGGTCATGCACCTATCTCATGCATAATTCATTGTGGCATTGTATCAAACATCTGATGGTTTGGAGTCTACTAAGTATGTTAAAGAGAATCATTGGATAATGGGATGAAACATCTTGTCAGACTAATTAACTCAAGCTTTGATATCTCACCAGGGATATGGTGACCAGGATGTTCAGGGTAGTCAAAGCTCCAACTTGAGATCTTTTGATCTTCAACACATGTAATTTATTTCATATGTAATTTTGGGAAACGAGGAGAAGGTAATCTCTCCTCGAGATAGTTTCAGATGGGTATATATCATTAATGCTGGAGAGGAATTGAGGAGCAGAGATTTCATCAATACAACTTTACTTTACATTTTTCATTTGACCCTCAGTGTCTAACACAATCTCTTGCCTGGCCTTCTTGTCTTGACCCTTGTCTCTGCTCCGCTGTCTACATGCCGCTTCTGACACAGACTGTCAACTTTCGCCAAACCATACTGGACTAAGGAGTGCAGTGAGACAGTTAAAGAAGCGCGAAAGGCAAGGAGATTGTGGACCAAGCTGGGCTCCAAGGAAAGCTGGGTGGAATACCAGAAATCTACTGACCGAAAGAAAAGCCAGATAAAAAGGCCAAAATGATAGGATGGAGGGCTATAGTCTCTGAGGCCATTAACGATGCAGCTAAGCTGTGGAAGTTTGCCAAGTGGGCTAAGAAAAGTCCGGAAGAGCGGTCACAACTTCCGCAACTTCCAGACATCAAGGATAAAGCTGGAAACATCTTTACCGAAGACACCAAAAAAGCGGAAATACTGGCGCAACACTTCTTTCCTCAGCCCATCCGAGCTAGTCTGGAAGATATAGTAGGGACAAGATATCCAGAACAACTAATCACAGTATCTAGCATCATCACAGAAAGCGAGATCCAGGATACCATGGCAAACCTAGCGAGCGAGAAAGCTCCTGGCCCAGATGGTATTCCGAACTGGATGCTTAAAAACTGTAGAATAACCCTAGGCAAAGACCTCGAGAAACTTTTCAACGCCTGTATTTCCATGGGTTACCACCCAAAAGGTTTCAAAAAGTCGGTCACGATTGTGCTGTGAAAGCCACAAAATGAGTTGTATGATAATCCTAAATCATATCGACCAATCGTACTCCTGAATACCTTGGGAAAAGTCCTCGAAAAGTTTGTGGCAAATAGATTATCGAAAGCAGCCGGAGCTCATCATCTACTCTCTGATGAACAGACGATAGCCCGACAATTGAGATCTATGATCTCCGCAGTGGAACTTATTACAGAACAAGTACACTCAATATGTGGGAAGAACAAAAGGAGAGTTGCTTCTCTCCTCAGCCTAGATATGTCCGGGGCTTTCGATAATGTGTCTCACGAGAGACCCATCCACAACATGAGGGCTAAAGGTATACCAAGATGGACGACGCTTTTCATTGAAACGTTTCTAGAGAAAAGAACTACGTCGATGAACATTGGTTCGTATAAAGGAGAAAAATTTCCTACCAGTACTGGGATTTCTCAGGGCTCTTCCCTTTCGTCGATTCTCTTCCTGTTTTTTGTCAGCACGCTTCTTCCAAAACTTTAGTCACCGTCTTCGACGGCTGTAGGTTTCGTGGATGATACTAACATACTGACCTGATCCTATTCTACAAATGAAAATTGCCGAAACCTCGAAAGACTCCATGGGATTTGCGAAAAGTGGGCTGACCGGCATGGTGTAAAATTTGCTCCGGAGAAGTACTAGCTAATGCACTTCTCAAGAGCTCGAAAGAAGCACAACATGCAGGCCACAGTCCAAATCCAAGGCCATATCGCCCATCCGCAACCTTCTCTTCGTGTCCTAGGCATCCAACTCGACCCGAAACTTAATTGGGGTGCTCATATCAAAATCATACAGCTTAAAGTCGAACCACAAATACAAGCCTTATGTAGATTGGCACAATCAACTTGGGGTGCAAAGTTCCGCAAGGCGAAACTTGTGTGCAATGTAGTGGTGAGACTAGTTGTCACCTACGGATCCCCCATTTGGGCCGAGCCCGGAATGGCAGGCAAAATACCCGAAAGAGTGATCAAGCCAGTTCAAAGTGTACAGAGAAGATGCCTAAAGATCATCACCGGCGCCTATAACTCGACCAGCAGCAAGGTATTTGAGCATGAGACCTCTACCTTACCGATGGAGATTTATCTGAAACTAATGAGGGTCCAACACGCCGGAATATCGAAATGCCTGCCCGTTCAAGAAACGATATTGTCGGTATGCAGGAAGATAAAACAACCCCGAGCTGAAAAGCAAGTTGCACGAGTTGTCACGAGGACCTTGGATACTGCGGAGTGGGGTCAAACATGTGGGAATACAGGGACGAAGGCATGACAGAAAGTGGTAGGAAATGTGGCAGCCTTCAGAGAATAGGAATAATCCTGGACGAGACTAACAGCCAGGCAACCTACTAACCACCACGCCACAGCAGATCCCAAAATCTGGAACGCAGTAAACCTTTATACAGATGAAAGGACTGGAAAGACAGGAATGAGCCAAAGAGGAACTCCTTCCAGTATCCATAAACATCTGAGCAGTGCCCAGAGAAGCATAACCATGCAGATAAGAAGCGAACACATTGGGTTCAATTCCTATCTGCACAGAAGAAAATTTCCAGGATTAGATAATCCACAATGCCAATGTGGATATCCGTCCCAGAATGTGAAGCATATGATCATGGCTTGCACTAGCTGGGCCAAAGGTAGAGGAGAAATACTGAGAAAGGCAGAAAACCAGTCATTTGAGGCCATGATGAATAACCCCAAAGATATTGCAAGGATAACTAGATGGATCCAGCAGGAAGGAAGGTTAGAGTAGTTTCAACTGACGCATGAAGTTGAGGCCACGATAAGGGAGAGAGAGGAGAAAAGGGGAAAGATGTTCTCCTGCCAGTAGCAATGAAGTGGACGGTATCCACACTGGACATGACAGTGTTAGTGTACTTCGTGAAGGTAACACAACTTTAAAGTGTATATAAATTGAAAAGTTGAGGGGGGTTTTGCCATAAAGGTTTCCTCCTATATAAAAATTAGAGTTCGTAGACACCTGCATGGGCCATAAGGCGCCAAATCGGGTTAAATGAAATCAAAATCAAATTATGAGGTTAGTCATTAATGCGCTTTGACGTAAATACCAACCACCAGATGTTCTTATAACAGAATATAGTTTATATAGCACTCTCTATCCTAGTGGCCTATTCTGTAATTTTCTTTGATATTGTGTCATAGCTAGATAGCTGCATACGCAATTAAAATCTGATGCAAAAAAAAGAAAAATGTCCTCGTGGGAGTAATCAACAACCCTCCACGACAGATTTACAGACTCCGCTACATTTCCACTCGCTTCATCAAGTGATATAATCTGTGTCTAACAGCCACAAGCTTTTGCAAATCCATCCGCTCAACAGTAACGATATTCGATATCAAGATGTTCGCCTTGTAACGAAGTCTCCTTCGCGCATGCATTACGTTCTCGTAGTAAATTTAACGAATTAAAGATATATCAATGTCACCGTCGCCGTTTTATCATTATATCGAATAACCGTCACATGATGTAGCCACTGTCATTGGCTGAAGTCTGGTCACAGTAAGTGAGGTTCCTCATAATCAAGGCATAATTTACTGTTTCCTACTTAAATAGTAAATATGTCATGCACTTCCCCAGACGACTCATCAGGCCTGGTAGAAGTCTGGATCCACCTCATGCAAGTGTATTCTTAAATTGCAACTAAGATTACAGACAAGACGACGCGAAGATTGAGGTGGGGGAGGATGAGGTCACACCTGTGGATATCATTGCTGCACAAACTATGCCACAGTAGGAAGATTACGAGGATGAGGAGGCAGCTGAGCCGCCTGGTAAGAATAATCAAGCACTAAATGGCCCCAAGCGCCTGCTCAGCTTCAAGAACTATGAGCCAGATGCCAACTCCATGGAGCTCATGAGACTCATGCCTATGGAAAGAAGCCTCCAGCAGCAGGCAGAGCTTAATAGAAGGCAAGGGATATCAGATGGCTAGTTTAAATAATATATGAGATAGTGTAGACAGGACTTAAGCACTAGTGCTGGGGAATGGAAATAGAGTGTACTGAATTGTATGTATTATTACATCTATCTAGGGTGTTTCGAACGAGTACGGAGAATAAATAAACCAAAAAAAAACGTCTACGGATTAGATGAGACGCACAGGCTTCTCAATATTAGTCAGCTATTACAGTGCCTCTAGGTTCCAAAAGGTAAAACTTCAAACTGGGTCGTTGAAGGGATTAGCCCTATAGGCGCAGTTGGGCTAGCTCGTAATAGGTTAGTATATCTCTCCTCCTTACCCCGCTCCCCATGAAGTATGGTCCAATCGTCTTCTTCTAATAATCGCTTAGTAAAACACATTTTCAACGAGATTTTTGGCTGCCAAGCCTACACAGTCATTGAAACCTCCCACCAGTATCAATTCATCCTCTACTCTAGCAAACAATGTCTCTCGAAAAGTCTGCTTCAGAAACTAAAGTTCGCAAGCATTTAACTCGCGATCAATGTATTGAAATAAGAGCATTAAGAAGACTTGGCTTGACACTTCAAAATATATCCGACAAACTTGGCTTCACAATAAGACAAGTACAACTTGCGTGTGCTCGAGAGACTGAGAATCCTATGTCTCGCAAAGAACCCTTACTAAAATTAAGCGCGGAACAAGTTGATGAGCTTGAGGCTTTCGTCCGGGAGTCTCCAGAAAATCGACAGATGTGCTATTTGGAACTAGCTATGGGGCCCTTCAGCCACTGGAGATGCAGTGAACGTCTAATTTCTAATGCACTCGAAAAAAGAGGTTACAGCAGATGCATTGCTCGGAATAAGCCTCCGTTAAGCGCGGTGAACAAGCAGAAAAGATTGGATTTCGCCCAATTACATTCAGGTTGGAGCGATGAATAATGGAGTCGCATATTATGGACTGATGAAACCTGGGTATCGGGTGATTGTCATATGAAACCTCGTGTCACAAGAAAAGTACGTTTAAATTTTATCAAAATCTTCCATGTACTAACAGCAGAGTTTAGCCTGATGATGATTTTGATGAGACTTGTACTGTGGCTCGCCATGCTCATGGGAACAGCTGGATGTTTTGGGGATCATTTTACGGATCGCAAAAAGGCCTATTTCTAGTCTGGGAGAAGTATTAGGGATCGATGAGGTGCTCATCCTTTTGTGAAAGGATTTTGCCTCTTTTGAATCAATTTCACGTAGAATTTCCAGAAATTCTACACATGCATAACAATGCACCATGTCATAAAGCGTACTCAACAATTGAGGCGCTGCGTGAAGTTGGAATAACGCCTAATAGATGGCCACCTTACTCTGGACCTGAACCCGATCGAGTCATTGTGAAACACCTTAAAGAACCACATCCAGGTAAATAGTCCAGAGAAAAATGGGTCAGGCTTGTGCGCTCTGCCACGTTGAAAACATTGCTGCAGGCCGCATGGGACTCTATACCTTCCGAGGAGCTATTGTCACTAGTTGGCAGCATGCACGAAAGATGTGTAGCAGTGATAAAGGCAAATGGAGGGTACACAAAGTATTAGGATGGAGAAGGCTAATACAAAACATGCAGTACGCTTTCATTTTAGATGCGAGCCATACTGAGGGCTTCGATGTAGACTTTTGTAATACAGAGCAATAATTTTTGAAATAGATGTGCTTTTATATATTTTCACGTGATCATGTTCTCCACAAAAACGGTATAGCGATGTAAAATAGCAGCACGGAATCGTATTGTTTTAACGAGTCTGCGCTGTATTCTTAGCGCATGTCTGCATTTAGAGATGAAGAGATCAGGTCAATCCTGATTGGTCTATGTAGTCCTAGAATTCTGGAAGATATAGAAGTTAAGTTGTTTTCACCGAGTTACTTTTTTCCTTAAATTACTTACACCTCGCCTGTCACAAGTCAGGCTCTCAGTTACCTGAAAATGACACTTAAGGGCTCAGACACGCGGTCCCAGAGTCAGAAGGGGGATTTGCACATCAGTACGTCAAAATACAGCCCTTTGTATGGTTGGACCTGTCATTTTCAACAAAAGGTAGTTAATTCAGCTCGGCCAGATTTCAGGCCTTAACACTCTTCTCATCTCAAAACCCGTTAAACGAGTGTTGAGAATCTACGTTGGATTGTTCTATGGTCAACAATCTCTTCCGAGTCCCTCGTTATCTATACAAGATGCTGGAATATTCAGGTCGATTCCCGTCTCCTTTATTTTCTTAGCTGTACGCTTTGGATCATAAATCTTGTTGCATTTTGTTAAGCCTGACATCCCCAAAGTGTAAACATCGAGAAATTGAAGGTTCGGCTCAAATACTAGGGCGTAGGACCTAATCCTTGTGGGATCTTACTATTTAGCAAGTATCATGATAGGTAGTGGATGATGTCTACCTTTGCGACTAGTCTCCCAACCACGAATAGGCCATATCCAACTTTTGAGCGGAACGCCCTTGCGTTTTGTCGCACGTGGAATATTTATCCTCATATTTTTTCCGGAAATTTTATCTGCGATAGCAATCATCGCCTTTTTTCGATTCATCTCAATATAGCGACCTGTAAATATCTGGCCACTACAATCACGACCCAAATCATCTAGTCCTATCATGCTTTCAGGTGATTCCGGGATATTCAGGCGAGAGTTGTAAGGTACAATAGTCTTCCTTATACGCTCACACTTTGTCTCAACACCCCTGTATACATGTATGACTTTCCGCATTCCTTCTTTTCTCGTAAACACCACATAGTATCTTTGACGATTATCAGAGTTTTCTAGACAGATTTGTTAGTATCTTCTATGATTATTGGAATCAGTAAATTTTACTCCCATGTGGCGACAAAATATGATCTCCAAATAATGGCCATATAAGGGGTATATCACCTCCTTGCTTTAAAGAAGTACCTATCACATATGGCTTTGGAAAATATCTATCAGGTGATAAAAGTGCCTTATTCATGGAATCATAAACATATGAAAAGCTAAATGTCGCTAATGGACATTTGAACCCCTCATATTCTTGAGAGTCTAATCCAATTTCTTCGTCGATTCTCTCATTGTCATCGTGCAACAGCTCGAAACATGGTTGAAAATGGCTTTCGTGGCGTATTATTACACCAACAAGATCGCATTCAAGATTAAAGACGGCACGGAATCTTCCCTTGGTTCCTGAATCCCAAAGTGGTTAGCAAACGCTAATCAAGTATTATCGAGAAGAGCTACCCAATTTTCAAGGATACTGACCAGATATATATACTTTATTTTCGTGAATAAGCGGCCAGGTCAAGAGAGCTCCAGAATCACGACCAAGTGCCACGTACTCCTCCAAAAGCGCAGGAAATATTGCTTGACGGTTCGTTGTGTGCATGAATTTGCAAGCATGTTCAATTGACGCCTTTACTGTGCCTCCTGTGAAGTACTGGTCGCGGCAGACGAAGTCATTTAAGGTTTTTTCGGGCTGTCCTATACGGAGATATGCCCCGGAAGCATAGCAAAAATTTCTCTGCAAATACTCGCTGAAAAATAGACCGACGGCGAAGCGAAAAATTTTTAGCATTTCCGGAGATCTTCGTGCAATATTCTTTCAAATATAAAACTGTGGCCGGCACGAAGCATTTTCAAGGTAACCCTGAAATTTTAAGTAATCCTTTGAGCGACCGTCTAAATTTCTACTGAATCGTGCCTTAATTTGTTGGGTATGCATAGATGTTTATTTTCATGCCTCATCTAATATTCTGCCCCAATCCTGACACCAGATGAAATTTCATCAAACCTTCTGAAAAACAAGTTAATTAACGGCTGAGAAAAGATCTTAGAAATTACCAATCGCTTGCTAAATGTCGTTAATTACTGGCAAGTATCGAGGGTCGCGAATGAGAGATAATAATTATGCAGATAAAAAGTTACTAACTATGGCCATGGATGCATACGCATCGTAAGACCTATCATCTCTCTCAAAGAACCTAAATGATATCAAGTTATCTATATTTTGTACTACGTATTTGTGTCACCGTAATGGCGGCAGGACAATTATCTACAAATATATCTACTTCACTCGCCTGAATCGCTCAGCGCATTGACGCTAGTGGGTTTGATTAAATTTGAATGTTATTCGTATCAGGCATTTGTCCTACACCCATGAGGCGTGATACGGGTATGTGATCTCGACGGATTCAATACTACCTGCGTGCATGGCTTTATCCGGCATAAGAGCTATAAAAATAGAAAGATATGGAAGTATAACACAGTGTGTCCGAACGTAGTGTGTTTTGTTTTATTATTTTTGGTCCTAAGCTAACGCTATCTTTTCCACATTGGGTCAAGGACCGGTGGAGCCGGCAGGGTTCCCTGTAATCTTTCCTACAGCCTAACTCGTTCCAAACTCGTGAATCTCTGCCAAAAGTGCAGCTGATTAAACCATAACGAAAAATCACAAAAATCAAAACAACTCCGAAAACCAGAAGATTCCTCCATATTGGACTCAAGCAATGTGCTCCTCACATATTCCCTCGTCCGTTACACCTTCCAAATGACAAATTTGCCCAACTCCGCAGGGAGCAAAAGATGTATTAGCAGGCACCTTTGGTCCAGCCGGTATCCTGCTGTTGGTTAGTAGATGTCCCTTCCGGGATATCGTCGAGGTTGCTGTGTCCTCAAGCTTCTTTTTCAGATTCCAACACTCCGAAACCTGTTGCCTCGGCCATCGAGACATCCTTCGCCACGGCGATGGTCGCCTCTTCGGCTTTTTTAGCTGCTGCCCGAGCTCGTGCCACCTTCACGAACTCCCCTTGCTGGATGTGACGGATCCGCTCGAGCTGCTCTTTTGACACCGATCTGGATTTTTTAGGTCTGACTTGGCAGGCCCGAGAATCCGATCGGTGGGGTCCCCCACAGTTACGACACTTGGTGAGGGCCCTGCACTCGTCTTCCGAGTGCATATTTGATCCGCAATTCCAGCAGGCTGGAGCACGGGAGCAACCACGGGTGACGTGGAAGCCCAAACAGCGTTTGCACTGTTCAATTTTTCGACGAGGCTTTAGAATGGTCGCCACTCCAGACTCGCCGAGAATACGGAGTCCCGGGCGAACAGGGCTTTCCAATTTATGTACGGCGCTCCAGGACGACATGTCCAGTGCGGTAGCACCTGGGTTGGAAACTGCTGCGTTTTCCTGTATATCTCATATATGATCCTTTCTGCATCGATCGTATAGATACCGCCGACCATTTTCATAGTCACTGGAACATTCGCGATCCGAAAGGCGACAAGGTTGGAGGCTTCCTCGAACTTGGCGTTGAATTTCGCCAACTTCGGTGTAGCCTCTAGGAGCTCTTCCCTTATTTTCTCATTCCCTGTCAGAATAGCAAAGCCGGTTCTGACACGGTGTATAGAGCAGGCGTCACTCAAGATGCACTCCAGCCTGATCTGCAGTTGTTGCCTTATTCCGAGAGTCGAAAGCTGGCGCCAAGGTTGCTCCTTTTCCAGGCGAAGGAACAGTCGCTTGTCGACTTTCGCCTTGGGAGCTTCTTTATTTAGGACTCTGGCCGCAGGTCGCGGCACAGCCTTGGCAGTAGGGTCTGCTTTTTGTCGCAGTCCGTGTCTGGCCACCGTGGCCCAGGTGCTTTTGACGGGCAGAGCTGGGACGGTGGGTATTGTATGGCTCCTGGCGTCGGGAGCCCTTGGGATCGGGTTCGTCGGGCGAAGAGGGAGAACGAGTGGCTTAGTGGCCGGGCCCGTGGCCATGTATTGCGCAATGGCGGCGCGTAGGTAGACTCTCATGGGGTCTACGAATTGTCTATTTGACCCGTTGGTCATAGGGAGGAGGGTAGCTTTGACGTCAGAGATGGCGGCGGAACAGAAGGCCAGATTTGCCGCTGTTTCGGCGGCGCGTCGTTGTTCGGCTTCTACAATAGGTCGAAGTTCCGGAGGGCACTCTGCTTTCGTGGCAGCTTTGGGCTGCGACGTTGATTTTGACGCTGCATTGGGTGCAGCGTTCTCCGAGGGTATTTGCGTAGTCGGAGGAGGTTTGGACGATTCTCCAATCCCGTGGGGGACGGAGGCTCGTTGAGGAATTTCCTCAACTATTTCGACTGACCCGACCATGTCAGTATCGGGCTCAGCGACGGCGGGATGGCTTTTCCTTTCCATATTATTGAGGCCTTGCTCATCTCCGCGCACTTCGGAGACTGGATAAGGCCAGATAACTGATCGAGAGCCCTTGGGCAGACTATCGTGTTGTCTACCGTGGCGTTGGGACGCTTTTTACGAACAGGTGGCATGGTTAAAATGCTAGCGACTCGATGACAATTTAATGAGGGAATGCGACGAGCGCAAGAGGGAGGGAGAGGGGGAAAAGGTGAAGATTCGAAAATTCGAATTTCAAAAAATTGTGGATGTGTGTGTGTTTTATTGTGCTACTTGATTCATAGACTATCTACCATATTGGACTCCTCTCTGACCCAGGCCGCACCTTGGAAAGCTCTCCTATCCTCTTTTGTTACTCGAAAGATCATTGATATATCCCCCTTGATGAATAGCCATTCAGGTCAGTTTTTACCCGCGGGATTCGGCCACCTTTTCTACGGAACCTTCTACCCAAAAAAAATAAAAATGGTAGCAATGGAAACTGCGTGCGCGGGAAAAAGTCTCAAAAAACCTGCAGCCCCAGTCAGGCGAGGCCTAGACACCGGGACCACATGAGGTGCGCATATTCATCTAAATCTCCCTTCTTTGTAACAGTCGAGGCCATCTTGATCCAATCCACCATCTCCGTATCGGGTGCTGGGTACGCTCCGGAAACTCATCGGATGGCTTTTCCTCCATGATCAAGTATCAAACTGTGGATAGTTTGAAGGCGATTAATGTTAGATATAAAGTTTAAGGAGTTAGGTTTACAAAGCTTGGAGTTACTTGTTTGGAAAAAAGGTGTTTCGTTTGGGCTGTAGCAATAAGAACTCTATCTGTTCTGACTAGAGATGTTTCGTTCCAAACCATGAGAAGCTTGGTCTATGGGGACAAGTTGGGGACACATGTAGCATTTGCCATTTTCTAGACGTACATAATCTAGATAGTATCAGTAAGAGAAATAGCAGCCAGGAATTAATTGACACTTTTTACTTTTACTTCATACATTTTTCAATTGACTCGTAGAGTCTAACATCAAGGGTGGGTGATGAATAGGGCTCCGACCCTACCATCTGATCTGATCGTGGTTAGCTTCATGATAATGGTGATAGAGGGCAGTGTTGAGAGATGAAGACGATACAGACCGCGGAAGCGATTGGGAATCCTCGTCAAAGTGAGGACTTTGTTACTCAATCTCGGCTCTGCAGACTCTACAGTGAGAGCTGGAGGTTCGTAGGCGACACCACTGACAGGTATTGAGAATAGTCCCCCGTGTCCGAACGTAAACGCCCTGCGCCATGTCCTATTCTTCCCAGCAATTTAATAAGCTTAAAGACCGATACTCTTAGGGGAGCCTATGCAACCCGGTCTAAGATTTTACCACTACAACATTTCGTTACAGTAATCTATTCAAGTAGTTTCTCCCATCCTTTGTCCCCCAACATCTCGCTTACCCTTGGAGTGTTTCTTCTTCGTACTTTTCAACCGCTGTACAGCTGGTCTGCATTCCGCAAAGTGCCACGGGCGTCTTTCTCGTCTACATTTACACTTGACTTCAATAATTTCATGTTTGAAACTTTTAAGGTATTAGGCAAAATCGGCATGTCCAGTCCTGGCTGCAATCAGCTTGTAGTAAGCCCATCTTAGTAGAGCAGGCTCTGGAGGCCGCTTCAGAGTTATCTTGAGATCCATATTTGTATAGTACTTGGGTGTACTTTCCTGCCACCATAGTGTCACCAGTTCGACCGTGCGCTCCCTTACAAATCTGTTCAGTGATGCAAACATGAATTTTAATATGCGATTAAGTTCTATGGAAGGTATCGCATTTGTCCACCCTTCAGCAGGCTCTGAAGGCTACTCTAGCAAGCCTATCTACCCTCTCATTCTTCACAGTACCTAAGTGCCTTGGTATCCGCCGAATTTCGACTGACTCGCGGTTTTGGCTGTCGATGACAAATTTTTCGACTGTCCCCTGGAATGACCTCGATCTGCCACTGCGGAAAGTCTGAAAAGCTTCTAGACTATCTTAGAGCATTTTCATTGGGCTAGTTCCGGCTAACGGCAATGCTGCTTCGAGGGCTTTCTGGGCTCCTATAATTTTTGCATCATTAGCCTCTGCACCAAGCAAAGGTCCTGTATCACTACCGATCATTTGCGCTCCTCTAAATAGGGTGAATCCCCATACAGATCTTGCCAAACCGCAAGACGAGCCATCTGGGTTCGCACACATAGTGTCTATTTACAAGTGCTCTATCCATTGTTTAGCCTGAGAAGCCTCAAACTGTTCGTCGAGTGTCAAGAATTGACAACTATTTTCTTTTTTTGGGTGGAGTGGTCTACCAGACTCCACAGCAAGCGGTACTTTTTGCATGCTAATCTGCAATTACGAGTAGTTTCGTGCTGGATTCGTGAGCGCCCGGCAAATCTATCCTGAG